ACTATGAATAAATACTGTCTGAAAACTGCATAAGAAAATTAAGTTAGTCAGGCTGTCTTGGCCAAGTCAGTTACTCTGGTTGGGCTGTTACTACTCCATAGGGATACTCTGATTTTCTCTGCGGGGTTGCTACTTTTCTGGGGTTTTATATGCTGCTAACTGCTTCTAGTCTCACTGCTATTTGGGGGTTGTGGTGATTGTTGAACTGCTGGTGCTGTTACATTGAATATTCTGGGTTTTCTGCTGGTTCACTATTCTGTTTCTGGGATTGCTTGTTTGTTGCTCGACCACTTGTGAGCTTCATCATTGTGGCTGATTGTTTGTTGCTGTTGGTCGTTGACTGCTGTTTACCTGCTGTTGCTGTGTTGTTGCATACTACTCAGCTGATCATTCTCCTTCTTCTTTTGTTTTCCTATACCAGGTACACGACTAATACTGTCCATGTAACTTGAAAGTTGAGCATGAATACAAAAGAGAAGAGTTGAAGATTGTTTATTTTTAGACATAACCTGTATACTGAATATCATGTGACGTATAATAGTTTTGCATTTTTTGCTTGGATACTGGAGTTAGCTCTCATACATAGCAAATGTCAATTGTATGGTAACTTGATATCTTATTGTGTGTGTAGGTTGATAGATAAAAGGTTTGATAGTGTAATAGGCTATAGCTCAGAAATTAGCTATGTCTGTGATTAACATGTCCATTAATGCATGAAAGTTATCTATCATTAGTTAATCTCCTTCCCCCTTTGACAAACTGCCTTGTTATAACTGATAAACCACATCTCTAGAACAAAGAACCAGTTTACGGTCTCAACCTCACGAAGGTCGAGCCCAAGTCAAAACGGATTAAGCAGGCCCTCATCGGAAAACCAGTGGCCCAGGCTTGGCCCATCCCACGAGAGCTGGGTTTGGGCCCATAAGACGCGATCGATCGCCCGTGGGCGTGGCCCTGTTTCTGATTTTGTAAAAAGCATTCTGAGTCCTGCCATAAATAACCCGCAAGCATGTAATTAACTAGGGCTATTTCTGCTTTCAATTAGTAGAGACAAACGCGACAAGACACGTAGCTACTATAGGATATCCTTTTAAAATAAAGACGAGATGAGCCTCGACAAATAAAAACGCACAAGCTGCGGGGCCCTCGTTGAATGTATATATCAAAGCATTCAGTTTCCAGGGCGGGTCGTTTAGCAAATATCACGGCCTTCCCAGAATAATAACGCGATAGTCTCTTTAGGCGCGTATTTAATAATGTTATCTCCTTAAACTCGGGTGCACATTTATGTGACCCAAATCCAAATCTCAGCGGAATCGAAATGTGTCTCTAATCACGGGTACTTTGATGGTGGCGTGATCCGAGATGCATTTCCATGACGTTGCAAACTCTTTTAATAATAAATGAGACGAGCCTCGACAAACAAAAATGTACAAAGCTACGGGGCCCTCTAAATGTATATGTTGAAATACTTAGAATTCGGGACAGGCCGTTTTAGCTAATTTTACGGCCTTCCCCCAAAATAACAATACACTAGTTGCTTTAGGCGCGTCTTTAATAATTTATTTTCCTTAACTCGGGTGCACATGTATGTGACCCAAATCCAAATCTCAACCGAGTCGAGATATGTCAACAACCGCGTGTGCATTGATGTAACGTGGTTCGAGATATGTTTTCACAACGTTGCAATTCCTTGTAAAAATAATAATAATAATTATGAAAGCGGTAAAAGGTTAAAATTTGCACATAAGTTCGTATTTGTATAAAATCAGATAATCAAGCCGAATACAACAGTTGAGCGACCGTGCTAGAACCACGGAACTCGGGAATGCCTAACACCTTCTCCCGGGTTAACAGAATTCCTTATCCGGATTTCTGGTACGCAAACTGTAATATGGAGTCATTCTTTTCCTCGACTCGGGATAAAAATTGGTGACTTGGGACACCCTAAATCTCCCAAGTGGCGACTCTGAAAATAAATAAATAAATCCCGTTTCGATTGTCCTTTAATTGGAAAAACTCCCTTGTACCCTTGCGGGTACGGAAAAAGGAGGTGCGACAACGTACAAATAATGTGAGCATGAATAAAGCCTAAGCATGATCTCTAACATGAAGGAAAACAAGTTCAACAACAAGTAAACACATAACCACAGATAATAGCTATTAAGCATTGCAGCCTCACGGGACGGACCAAGTCTCAATCCCTCGAGGTATACACCCACACGCCCATCACCTAGCGTGGGTATCACCTCCAAACAATCATATGATATCAAATTCTCCGGGTTTATACCCTCAAAGCCAGAGTTAAAACTGTTACTTACCTCAACAGCATTAAATCCTACTCCGAGATGCCCTCGTCTCTGGACTCGATCTTCAAAAGCTCTGAATCTAACCATAATCAGATTAATACCATCACTATGTGCTAAAGAATCGAATTCCACAATAAAAACTACAAAATATGCCAAAAATTCGAAATCGGCCAAAATCCGGCCCCTGGGCCCCCGTCTCGGAATCAGTCAAAAATGGCAAATAATAAACCACGTTCTTTTTCCAGTCTAACCATATAAAATTTTATCAAAATCAGACTCCGTTTGGTCCCTCAAATCCTAACTTAAAACTCTCCAAAACTCAAACCCTAACTCCCTCAATTTCATTTTGAAATCATCAATCAAATCCCAAAAACGATGATGGATTCATTAAATTAACCAAAATCGAGTAGAGAACACTTACCCCAATCCATATGGTGAAAATTGCCTCCAAAATTGCCAAAATCCGAGCTCCCCAACTCAAAATATGATCGAATGAACAAACCCTTATTTTATATATTTTTCTGTCAGCTATTCTGCCTCGTTTCTCGTAACAAACGATTCCGAAACTTATTTTTTATGCCTCTAATGGATTCCTTGTGAAATTCTAGTCAAGTTAGGCTTTGGAATCAGTCAATTTGACCTTATAATGAATGAGACATGTTGGTTTCAATATTTGTAAATAGTGCAGATTTTTTAAATACGTCGTCAGTGGCAATTTCGTAATTACTCTGAAAAATCTGGCAACCCAATTCTTAGTAAAATGACCATAAAATCCTCATACGATGTCCAAATTCAATGATTCTTTTTGCTACGGGTTCGTAATTACGATATAGATCTAATGCTTCAATCAAAAAATAAATCGAAGCTTATTTATTCAATATGATATCATTTATGCTTGAAGAAACGACGTCGAGACATAAGAAAAATGAGCGAAACACAACCCAAACCTATCTGAAACTCACCCGAAGCCCACGGGACCTCATCTAATAATTTCAACAAGTTATATATCACTACCCGAACTTAGTCGAACCTCCGTAACACCCAAAACAACACCGAAACACCAAATCAACATCGAATTCAAGCTTAAGAATTTCTAAACTTTCAACTTTCGCCAATTCAAGCATAATTCTACCACGGACCTCCAAATTATATTCCGGACACACTCCTAAGTCTAAAATACCCAACGAAGCTAATCGAATCATAAAAATCCAAATTCAAATTCGTTTACTCATAAGTCAACTTCCGATTGACTTTTCTAAATTAGCTTTCTAACTAAGAGACTAAGTGTTCATTTCGCTCCAAAACTACACTGAACCCAAACCTATCAACTCGATACAACTTAACACAGCTGAACAATACTTAAAGAAACATATATAGAGAAAATGGGGCTATAACTCTCAAAACGACAGGTCAGGTCGTTACAATATTCTCCCGGTTAGATTAAGTAATGTCTAAATTGAATTGGTACCATGATGTAGGCTAGAGGAAATAGTAGCAATAGAGGATTAGTAGTAAAGTCTATAGGCAACTCCTAGCTGGGGCTTCATGTCCAGTAGGAGTTACGCTTGAGCTTTTAGTTGCAGTTTGTAAGAATTGTAAATATCTTTACTTGGTAAATAAAATATTTTAACTACCAAAAAAAAATAACTAATTAGAAGTAGGAATATAATTTGTGTTAGATTCCTATTTAGGCCTCTTATTAGAAGTAGGAATATAATTTTTATTACTTTATTAGAGCGAGTTATGCATGATTTATTATAGTTCAATTTGTTCTATTAGTTGATAAGCCAATAAACAGATACAAATAAAAGATTGATTAGGAAACTTAGGTTTGAAAGTGTGTCACGCTATAATCAGTTAGGGGTGTACATGAACCGGGTTGGTTTGGTTTTTATCAAAACCGAACCAAACCAATTATATCGGTTTGGATTGGTTCGGTTTTGTCGGGTTTTTTGGATTTTCGGGTTTTTTTATTACATGAATATTATTTCAATCTTACTTTATTAAAATTATAAATAAAGCTTTGATAAGTGAATATATGTTTAGTAAATATGAAAAAAATTGACAAACATATGATCTATTAAAATATTCTAATGGGAGAATTTTTTTAGTAACACATGATAGTTATTTTCTTAGTTGTCTAACAATAATTTTCGTTAATTTACGCTTTCAAGGTTAATACATGAGAGGATCCCAAATATTTCTACATTTTCTAAAGAAAAATCACTATAAAGTCTTAAAAATATAAATAAATTTTATATATTTATATGTCGGTTTGGTTCGGATTTTTTTTACTCAATACCAAATCAAGTCAAACCAAACCTAATCGGGTTTTTTAATCGGTTTGATTTGGTTTTTCGGTTTGGTGCGGTTTTCCGGTTCGATTTGAGCACCCCTATATTGAGTTACGATACCAAACCTATATCATATAGGCTATATATATATATGACATCACATTCAACTGTTTTTTTGGCACTAACTTTTTTCTTACATTTGAAACAGATAGCTTTAGCAGCTGCATAATCCTTAACGCATTTCCAACTGAAAAAATAAATAAGACAAATAGCTATATAGCTAATAACGTGACTCCAAAGCAAAGTTTGCATGAAAATCAAACCCTTGCATTTCACGTGAATCTCTCAAACGATTCTTATATTAGTATTAAATAGAAAACTTAGACTCTGAAATACACACAACAAGAAAAAGAAATTTTATTCCCAAAAATTATCATCAAATGAATTCTCAAGAAATCCAACAATCTTCAAATTCTATACAAATCCAAAATGTTGAGATATCAATACAAAACCTCATCAAAATCTGGGATAAAAGGCAAAGATGGCATTTCTTTGTAATGAATCCAAAACAAGAACCAACCAAACAACAATGGCGAAATAATTTAACCAAGTTTTTAGAATCTATACCTGTTAGACTTTTCACTATTGTCTTGCTTATAATCGATCTTGTTTTCACAAGTCTTGAGCTCTCTTCCTCTTTGATTTCCTGCCCGAAAAATGGGAACACAAAAGGTCAAGAAAAAGAAGAGGTTTGGTACCATTGGGCAGGTATGATTAGATAGTTTGTACTCCATTTTTTTCAAAAATAATGAACATATTAGTACTGTTTAGGGAGTCAAACAAGGTTTTCTTTTAACATATTTTAATGTTTTAAGTAGTGACTGAAATATTTTTTATGTAGTTTCTAAATATGTAAATTTATTTCATAAAACCTAAAGAATTTATATTTGAATTTACACTGAAAATTAGTCAATTTGACCCTTGTACTCGGAAAGGTTCAAATAAATTGAAATGGAGGGAGTAATATATATGAAGTGAGATGTCCCATGTCAACAACAACAACAAACCCAGTATATTATCAAATATCGGGTTTGGGAGCGTAGCGTGTACGCAGACCTTACTCCTACCTAGTGAAGGTAAAGATGCGAGATTGCCACCATATCAGAAGGCAAAATATTGATTTAAGTCCTATAAATATAAACTAACATGCATATGCATGATGATGGTAACTATTCTGAAAAGCTTAGTAAAACTGTATAAATATGCAGCCCTTTTCTGAGAAGTCGCTGAGTCAATTTGTAGTATACTTTGTTATTTCCTGATAAAAAAAATGTTTATTTTTTCCTGGTCGTAAATAATATACATGCAATATTTGCTTTAAGAATTGTGTTTTTTCACGCTTCAAAGCCTTATTTTAATTTTATCTGTTTATTTTTTCTAACAGGTATAACGATCTTGGGATTGTTATTTCTGAAAAGTATAGGCCTTGTTGTAGGTCTAGGACGATCGTTTTTTCGAAGACCGGGGTACTTGCTAGATGGCATAGTGGTAATGGTGGCATTATTTTTGGAAGCTTATTTGGAAAAAAAAGGTGGAGGATTACTTGTTGTAGTTAGTCTATGGAGAATTGTTAGGGTTGTGGAAAGTGCATTTGAATTAAGTGATGAGGCAATTGAAGCACAAATTGAAGAAATTGTTTGCCAATTTGAAGGATTGAAAGAAGACAATAAAAGATTGATGGATTGTGTAGTTGAAAAAAATAAGGAAATTGAGAAGCTTAAAGAAGAGTTGGATCAGTATAAAAATCAGGACAAAGAATCAAAGGACTAAGATGATTTTATCTTAGACTTTTTTTTTTCTAATTTATTTCTCTATTATTTATTTTTGTGATTTTTCCTAGTTCAATTTGATGTATAAATAAGCAGAATATCTTACAAATTACTCGTGATATAAGGAGAAAGGAAGAAAATTCGTTTCCCAAACTAAGGACTAATGACCAAAGAGAATCAAACAACTCTTAAAGAGTTTTTCAAAATTTTCAAAAACTTACAAAAGTTTCAAAGTGAAAAATAAGATATGTTTCGCTTTGTTTGGCATTGTTTTTTTAATTATTAATTCATTTAAAAAACGAATGATAAATTTGTATATTTTCTAATGAGGAAATTTTGCGGTCACACAAATATTATATAATATTTAAACTCGCATGTTTCAAAAGTTTTATACTCGCACGATGTTATACTATATTCAATTAAGATCACAAGCTGCAAAATTCTTCCTTTGTTTATTAAATTTTATGCAAAGTTAAAAGGAAAAATGGCACTATATTGCCTCTATAAAAATAATAGGCGAAAAAGTATATAAAATTTGTATATGTTTTGTATATATATAAATTCTATATGTTATACACAAAAATTTTATACACTTTTTCGGCAACCAGATGTAAACAATTTCTGGCGCGGGTTAAAAGTGATAATACCCCGAGTTAAACTATAATAAACAATGGATGGAGTACTTTTTTTGACAAAATTATAAAACACAATATTAAATTTGAAAAGGAAAATTGACTAAAAAAAATTCAACATTGTTTTCTATCTTCTTTTTTTTTTAATTAAACCCCTCCAAAATTTGGAGGATCTATAGTATTTCCATATTTTCCCTCCATGGCGAGTCCAACCCAAGACCTAACGGTCGTAGGTCGAGGTGCTTTTTAACATCTAAACATGGAAGTAAGCTCAACGTTTCCTCTTTGTTTCCTTTCCCTTTGGTTGCTTTTTTCCTGCAAAAGTCTATAGCTTTTGGTGGCTAGCTATTCGACCAGAGCAGACTTTTCTCATTGACCAATCAAAATCGACTATGATAAATTAATAAGCTTTTGAAATATCTTTCATGTTTTATTAAGCATCAATAAGTAAATTATTCCCACGAAATATAAATTATCTTATTATAAAAGGAAATAAGTTCTTTATTTTATTGATGGTACTATTCTTGATTTTGTCGTTTTAACTTTCCTTCAAAGACTAAACCATGGTGCTATCGTATCCTTAGCTTAAAATTTGGGATTTTCTTTTGATTTTTGAGAATTATGTGGCACGAATAAAGTCAATAATATTAGGTTCAAAATTGTCGAAGAACAAACAATCTTAGTTTTCTAGTAAAACTTCGTCAAAATTACTTAATAAGCAAGTTGATTTGTAAATGATTATATATTGAGATGACATCACCTATAGAAGAGGGTAACTGTTTATAATTGATAAAAACTTATCCACACCAAATTGTCATGAGAAATAAATTTTATTAGATGGAACAACGACGGGAATCGTCATTTAGTTTTTAACTAATTGTCATGAGATTTTGGTAGAAAGTTAAGATTTTCCCTTTTTTCACCATAAAAAAAAGATTTCTTTTTTTTTTCGAAATCAGTTTTTTGGTCATGAAATTTTTAATTTTCACTTGAGGATGAATTTCAATATTTTTCGAAAATTTAAAAAACTTCAAAAAACTATTTTTCAAAATTTTCACTTCAGATCACTCAGAAAAATTAAAAAACAACCCAAAATTATATTCATATCCAAATACAACTCTAATTTTCATCACTTGATTTTTTTACTATTATTATTTTTTACTTTTTTCCGAAATTTTACAATTCTTATGTCCAGATGCCCACTTAATTTATAAAATGACTAGTTGAACATATTAAAAACGAAAAAGGGCCAAATGTGTCCCTGTACTATTAGAAATTAGTTATTAGTACCCTCCGTTATACTTTCCCACATTATTTATCCCTAACGCTATTTATTTTACGGAGAAAGGTCAAAAATGTCCCTAACTTATTAGAAATGGCTCAAAAATACCCTTTGTTAACCTTTTGGTCCACAAATAGTCTCAACGTTTTAATTTGGCTCAAATCTGGTTTCGTCCATTTTTCATCAAATACAACAACTTTAAATATGCAGTTTTAATTAGATATATACTAGTCTCCATTACATCACTTTAGTAGCTACAAATTCGACGAAAATAGATCCTGACAATAGTAGAAAATTTTCATTCTTTGCACTTTGTTCTCTGATGAAGTTGAAAAAAAAAAGAGGAAAAAGATTATAAAGGAGAAAATGGACTTGCAGAACCCTATTTGTTTGAACGAGGATGAAAGAATGGGGTACAAGGTTTTGATAAAAAGAAACGGGTCAGGCATCATGCGGCGGGTTGGGTACTTTTAAACAAACGGGTGGGTTTTAATTTATTATTGGAAAATACACGTGGCATGTTTATAGCGTGCCACATGGCTATTGTAAAGTCTCAGATTTTTCCATGGATGGTCCGTTAAATGAAAGGACAGATTTGAGCCAAATTAAAACGTTGAGGCTATTTGTGGACCAAAAGGTTAACGGATGGTATTTTTGAGTCATTTTCAATACGTTAGGGGCATTTTTGGCTCTTTTCCGTTTATTTTAATATCCTTACCCCATCACTAACGGATCCTTCTAGAGGGAGACTTGTCTAGGGGGCCAAACAGGTGAGGGATCCAACTGTAAGTGGTTAGGTCGTTTAGGATTAAGACACGTGTCCTTCTAGAAGGGTCCGTTAGTGATGGGGGTAAGGATATTAAAATAAATAACGTTAGGGATAAATAATATGGGAAAGTATAACGGATGATACTAATAACTAATTTTTAATAGTACAGGTACACATTTGGCTTTTTCCGTATTAAAAATACAACCTTCCAATTATAGCAGCCAGATGTTTGAGGGAAAGCAGGAATAGGGCTGCAACTTGTGCAATATTTTGTAATTTGTACCATAGGTCATGTAACATATGCATGCATCTAGCTGTATCTTGAATCGATGTGAAAGTTAAATTAAATTATTATTATTAAGAGGGCAAGTAGGAAGAAAGGTGCAATTTAGAACCCTAATTTTGTACAATCTAGCTAGCTAGTCAATGATCGAGGTGAAAATTAAAAAATTCTGATAACAGTCAGATACTCGAGGAGAAACAAGAATAACGGTACAATTAAAAGGATTTGAATAGTAAAATTATATCTATTCAATGAATTAAAGCGATTGTGAGTTCGACAAGAGGGTTGCTCTGATGGTAAGCAACGTCTGTTTCCAACCAAGAAGTTGTGAGTTCGAGTCTCCCCAAGAGCAAAGTGGGAAGTTTTTGGAGGGAAGGATGCCGGGGGTCTATTTGGAAACAGCCTCTTTACCCTAGGGTAGGGGTAAGGTCTGCGATTTTGCCGATACACATATATACATACGTTTTAACATCTCTAGATTAAATTAAAAATATTTGTAATTTAAAAAAGCAGTAGAAGTTTGTGGCTGGTGGAAATACTGTTACTTTAACCCCC